GGCACCCACCACCACCTTGCCCGCCTCGCCTCGCCCCGCTTACCCACCTGCGCGCCTGCCCGCCCATGCCCCCCTGCAGTGGACCGCGAGAAGCTTGAGGAGTCGGCGGCGGCGCGGGGGCGGCGGCGGGGCGGCGACGAGAGCGACCCCGATTACGAGGCGGTGAGCGCTGGGTGGTGTGGTGGTGGCTGGTGGGGGAGGGCCCTAGTGGGCTGCACAGCACCGCACAGCACACCATGGCACACAGAGCGCTGCATCGCACCACTGCCACACAGCCGCAGCAGGGCAGGGAGGCTGCCCGCATCCCCCCCTGCCGCACGGCGCCGCCTCTGCGCCGCTCCTGCTGCCTCCCGCCGCCCCTGCTGACGCCGCCTGCTTGCGCGCCCGCCCCGTTCCCCTGCTCCTCCCCCTCCCTCCCCGCGCTGCTGCGCAGTTCGAGTACCGGCCTCGCGCCCAGGTGCCGCGCCGCCCCTTCCACCGCATGATGTCGGATGGGCTGTCCCCCGCGCCCACGCCGCTGGCGGGGCTACACCCTTGGGACCTGGCCCTGGGGGCAGAGGCCTCGCTGGCGGAGAGCGGCGGCGGCGGCGGCGCCCAGCCGCAGCGCTACCCCTCCTCCCCCCACCCGCGCACGCTGGGCACGCTGGGCACGCTGGGCACGGTGCGTACGAGCTGCCGCGCTGCCCTGCCCCTGCCCTGCCCTGCCTCTGCCTTGCCTGCCCCTGCCTCTGCCCTGCCTTGCCTTGCCCTGCCCTGCCCTGCCTCTGTCCTGCCCTGCCCTTCCGCCGCTTTGCTGCTGGTGTGTGGCTGGGCCTGGCGCGCAGCCAGGCAGGCGGGCGGGCATGCGCTTCCGCCCAGCCGCGCCCAGCCTCCCGCCTCCAGCCTCCCCGCTGCCGCGCCCTCTGACCCCGCCGCCGGCCCTGCCCCTGCCCTGCCCTGCCCCTGCATGCATGCAGGGCGGCGCCCCCGCGCCGCAGCACCTGGGCCAGCCAGTGGTGGTGCGCCAGATGGGGCGGGTGGCGGCCCTGGGCTGCGGCCCCGGCGGCGGCGTGGCGCTGCCGCAGCCCATCACAGTCCGCATCTACCTGTCTGGCGCCTCCTCCCCCAGCACCGGCAGCGCGGCGTCGGCGGGCACGCAGGTGGCGGCGGCGGGGCCGCAGCCACCGCTGCCCCCGCGCGGGC